ATTTTTTGTTATACAGGTAATACCCGAATTCACTTCACTTGATAAAAAAATAAAACCACTGCAGTTCAGACTCAAATTCCCTTTGATCAGCTCCCCAAATCCAAAACTCTCCCCTAAACACAGAGGTGACCACTGTTACCAGCTTGTCTATATATTTGCCTAATATTTCCATAGAGAATACATAGTACTATCACGTGGGTTTGTATTTTGCTGGGTTTTTTTTTTTTACATACATTGGAAACTACAAATATTCTGCAACCAATTCTGCAACTAAATTCACTCAAAAAATTCTTATCTAAGTTGGTACATATAGATTTATAACAATCTCCTTAAATGCTACATAATATTCCCAGCATGGACACACCATGGTTTACTTAGCCATCTCCCTATTGATAGACATTTAGGTAGTCTCCCATTACAAACAGCCCCTGTCAAAGGCTGGAGACTTCAATCTGGTCCGCCTGGTCCTATGTTCCTACCCCTTGCAAACAAGAAGATTTATCATTCACACTGTGTTAAGTACACAAAATAGCAAAAGTGTCCTTAGGAACATTTTATAACAAATTTATAGTAAATTTTTTTGTCAAAATCCTAGGTCCCACTAAGATGATTTTTTTTCTGTTTGTTTTTGGCTTTTTTAAAATATACAATTGACATATATAACATTATATTACTTTCAGGTGCAAAACGTAATGATTTAGTATTAGTATATATTGCAAAATGATCACCACAATAAGTCTAAATAACACCAATCACCATACATGGTTACAAAATTTCTTCTTATGAGAACTGTTAAGGTCTACTCACGTAGTGACTTTCAAATATGCAATAAAGCATTATTAACTATTGTCACCATGCTGTCCATTATATTCCCATGACATTTATTTTATAACCAGAAGTTTATACCTTTTGACCACCTTCATCCCTTTCACTGACCCCTCCACCACTCTGCCTCTGGCAACCACCAATCTGTTCGAAGAGAGTAGATCTTAAATGTTCGCATCACAAAAAAGAAAAGGCGGGCTTCCCTGGTGGCGCAGTGGTTGAGAGTCCGCCTGCCGATGCAGGGGATACGGGTTCGTGCCCCGGTCCGGGAAGATCCCACGTGCCGCAGAGCGGCTGGGCCCGTGAGCCATGGCCGCTGAGCCTGCGCGTCCGGAGCCTGTGCTCCGCAACAGGAGAGGCCACAACAGTGAGAGGCCCGCGTACCACAAAAAAAAAAAAAAAAAAGAATTGATAATTATCTAAGAGATGGAGGCAATCATTTTGTAATAGATAAGTGTATCAAATTAACAGATTGTACATCTTAAACTTACACAGTGTTATATGTCAATTATACCTCAATAAATCTAGGGGAAAAAAGAAAAGATGGGGGACAAAAAGGCAGAAAAAAGACAGGAAAAAAGATAAAGAGGAAAATTAAGGCATTATATTAACCAGTTGCTATGCAGTTTTGCAAATACAACTGCTAAACAAGAATATAACAAGCTGTAGACTGCATTCGTAATAAAATACATAGGGGAAAATGTTTTAAGTTTCAGGTTTTTATTTTTGGCTCTATACTTTCTGATTCAGTTGTAGTAAATAAAATCCTGCCTAGCTTTCAAACTTTAGTTCCTCCAAGTTAGCAGTTCAAGTAACATAAAGAATTCTGGATGGGGAAGAAGCACGTGGCAAGACAGTAAGCCTATTTAGAAAAAACTTTATAAAGTTGAAAACTGAAAAACAATTCATGGAATGAAATCCTGTTCTTTATTCAGCAATCATGAAACTCTCTTTGAAGGCTGTTTTAAAACAACACCAACTTTGAGACACTTATTTAGTCTAATTCTTGTGGAACATAGTTGATCATCTTTAAAGGCCTTATACCAGCAGTTCATCTTGGGTAACAGTATTCAAATCAATGCTCTATTTTAGAAGATATATAACATTCATATCTCTTTATTACTCAGAAGAGTCTTGGAATTATCTCTATTCTCTGTATGCACAAAAGTAAATAAATTGATGATTCTATTATATTCTTTATCTTAAACAGCATGCATGTGAGACATCCTTAACTACAGTTGCCTATCTCTGCTTCACAAGATACAGGTGATGCTAGAATTTGAAGCCAGAACCCAATTCTGGTGCTAGAAGCTAGAACTGTAACAAACCAGATGCAGACAATTTAATTGAAGAGCAAACAAACTCCATCCTCAGCTGCTTATGGAGACCATCAGCTTTCATAGAGTACAGATGCCCATGGCCACACTGAACACGGAGAAAGGACATCCATTTCTCTCTTTTTCTAAAGGCCTACTCTTTCTCATAAAGGACTGACAGCAACTGACATAAGAGAAAGATTTGGATGCAGAAAGAAATTTGAAAATTCAACTCTAGTAAATTTTAGGCTTTCATTAAATTCAGAGTTTATCCTGCCACACAATAAGATTGTCACTAGGTCAAAGGAGGAAGAAGAAATCTGCATGCCTTGAGATTTCAACGATTTTGCCATTTAAAGTGTGTCTTGCTCAAAGTACATTTTACCTTGAACTTTGTGGATCACGAGTCACAGTAAGAAATATATTCTGCGTCATAACCCAGTACACATAACATACATACAATTTAAAACAAAAGTTTCATGAAAGCGACCCTTACTATACGCAATATGGTAATGTCTATTTCATGTGTCTTCTTTTTTAATGCTGGCTACATACCACAAACTAATTTCATGACCGAATAATGGGTCACAACTATAGTTTCAAAAACACTGCTGTAGTATATACACGTGGTCTGCCCTTTACCTACCTCTCTATCGGAATCTCACACTCCACCATACTACCCCCCACTGCTGTCACCCACACACCACCTCATAACCTATCAATAATAGCGATTTTTTTTCACATTAAACCATAAGATCAGTGCCTGCAATACTCGAAGATCTTTTGATCTTTTTGCTAGTGCTGCCTAGAACCCTTCCCTCAGATCATCGCACTTTATCACTCAGACTTCAAGACAGAAGTCTCTTCCTCAGACGAGCCTTCATTGACCACGCAATTTCTCAAAGAGCCACCACACACAACTCGAGCCAGGACAGAGGGTGCGAGGAGGAGTTCACTGCTCTTAGGGTTGTTGGGGGGTCTGAATGACAGGCACCAAAAAACAGTATTTCACAAATATCTGAGTGCCTAACATGATATAAGCAATAGCAGTGAACAAAAGAAAGACCCATTCCTCTAATAGTTCACAGTTTAGCAAGTGTGACAAATCTATGAGCAAATAATTTCGACTGAATATGGTAAGTACAAGTTTGAGGGGCCTCTGCAGTAACCAGGTAGAGATGTCCAGGAAGCAACTAGGCCTTAACAGGTCTGAGATGAAACTGAAATTTAAGAATGAATGCTTAGGCATTAGTAGAATTCATGTGTGTGGATGAAATCAGCCAAGGAAAATGTAGAGACTGAGAAGTGAAATTATTAAGGAGTGAGTCCCAGAAAATGACATTTTAAAAACAGGCAAAGCCAGTGGAAAAAAAGAGGGAATGAATAACCATGAGCCTCAGTTGTCAGAGAGGCTAAATAAAATAAATTTTGAGAAGAAATTACTGGATTTGGCACTTAAAAGGCCGTTCGAAATTTAAGCAAGGATGACTTCATGAAGCCATTAGAGAGGAATTCAGACAACAGGGTGTTGAGGACATAAGTGACCGAGCAGAATTTGATACAAATGGAAGCACTATGCTTTCCAGCAGTTTACTGATAGATTGATGGGAGGACTGGATAAACACAGGAAGGGGAAGGGCTTTTGTTTTATTTCATTTTCTTAAGATGTATGACTTGAACACTGAGGAGAAGGAAATGGAGAGGAAGAGGCTGAAAGCACAGGAAAGAAAAACTATAACCTGAAGCAAAAGTCTTGTAAGGAGTGGAAGGGAATAAGATTTAGGGCAAAGATGGAAGCTTTATCCTTCAACACCTGTTTCTATCAACTAGAAACACAAGACCGAATGATGGGTAAAAAATAGAGATCAATGTATAGGTTGGGGCACGAGGTTAAAGAAAGTGACTGTTAGACTCTGTCATCTGCTTAGAATGGAGGGGAAGGGACAGGGTTTGTAAAGTGAGGGTGTGGAAAGGGCTCGGAAGGAAAAGGGCAGCAGAAGATTGGAGTAATAAAATGGATCGCTGAGTAGTACTGGAGAAGGGTGGTGGGTGGGTCTCTGCTAAGTTCATAGCTATACTCATCTGACAATAGTCATCTCTCTATCTTCCAGTTCCTTACCTGTAAGTGTTTAAAATATTTGGTAATTAAGTGAATTAACTAGAACCCTGGTGTTTTCAAACACGTGACTGAATTATCTACAGGCTTTTGAAAAATGCAAATACGGAGCCCCATTCCTATTTATTCAGAATTTCTGGGGGTGAGGCTCTAGCAAGTGAATTTTCCAGAAGTGATCTTGAGGGGCATTCCTGTTAAAAAGCACGGACCTAGAAGGTAATCAACTGCCTAGAAGAGAGCTAATGCAAAATACAGCTATTACTATATGGCCCTTAGACAGGGTGTGGGACAGTACTCGGCCACTCAAGAAAGCAAAGATTTCAGGAACTAGGGAGGTTCGGATCAGTAATGAGAAAGTTATACACACACCACAACATACTATTAAATGAAGCGCGTTAAGGTGAAGCTGGGAGCTTGAAAAACAAAAATGCAATGATGAAAAATGAAAACATTTTAAATGTTTGTTTGAAATAATCTCTCACCTCAGACTATTAGACTCAGTGTCTTACCCCTAAACTTCCTGTCACATTACTCTCGAGGCTTAGCAGTACCAAAGTGTAATTCAGAGTGCTACAAGAAACAGGCAAAGAGGAAATTGCAGGGACTGCTCCTGGAAAGGGAGAAAGAGATAACGGCGTGAAGGAAGATGGGACGCGGACGCCTCTCAGTGCCCAGACAACCAAGGACCTGGGACGCGGAGTAAAGAAGACCCCGGAGCCGTTCTGGCCTCGCCTGGCACTCACCATCACCTCAGGATCTCAGCACAAGGAAACAGGTATGGTTGCGACAGGAAGTATACAACACCAACACCAACGCCGGGTTACTCTGGCAACAGAGCTCCACCTACTGCCGTACTTTGCGTGGGCCGCCCTGCCCGCCCCTTCATCCCTATTGGCTAAAAGTAAACTCAGCTCCGCCCACCCAATCGACAGGCCCGCCCTTTCACTCCGTCACCTGGGGCGACGGAACACCGCCTACCTCGTGCCAGCATCATCACTTCCGTTTGACCGATAGATAACTCGGAAGTTCAAACTAATACGCGGCTAGGGTCCAAATAGTCTACATTTTATTTTTTAATAAGGGTTCATCCGGTTTTCACTTACTGAAGTCTTACAGAAGATGTTCTGTGTTACTTGAGTTTAAACGCACCACAGAGTGTGTTTACCTTTTTCTTTTGGAAAAGTATTCCGGAAACGAAACCCTGAGTAATCGGAAGTGATTATTTGTGAACCAGAAGCTTGATGTCACCAAGGCCTGGGCGAATTGGCTTCCGAGTGCAAGAGTTGTGTGTGGAGAAGTTAGCCCAGTGAGATCTAGACGAAGAACCTGTAAAGTGAGGGCCCCTGCAATAGGAAGAGTAAGAGTCTGAGAGGTAAGTCCAAAAACGGACTTGTGTAACTAAGAGGGCGTTTTGGAACGGGACGGCGGTCTGAGTTGAAGTTTGGTGTTCAGTCGCTTTGTAAGGAAAGGTTGCCTGTTGTTCCAGGAAGGCTTGTTCAGACAGGCACGGAACTTGGGATTCGACTTCTGGGAACTGCAGAGGTTGACAGGCTTGTCGCTTCCATCCTGCCGCCTTCATACCTGTTACCCACTCCAGACCCATCCTTCACCCCCTTCCCTTGGTGTTTGCCGGCCGACATTGGCTGTGCTCGTAGATTTCGCTGCACTCGTACATTTCGCTGCGCATCTTCCGAGGGCTCACTGCTCTTTCGAAGGGTCTTTGGAGACCAGTTTTCAGAACAATAGGAGGGTTTGTGACTTTTGAGGAACGTAGTCGTGGGAGACGCTATGCCAAGTTATATCGAGTACCCGAGTGATCATTTTTGTGGTGAAACCATTTGTCATCCAGTGTCCAGTTCATAATACTCATAATCGCTGCATTAGTATCACCTTCCTTCTCACGTTCTCCACTGAATCTTAGTCTGTACTGTAAGGCCATGCATACACTTCTGAAAGCATATGCTATGCCATTTTAATTTTATTACCAAGAAGTGCAAATTATCATGAATTTTTTGTCGCTTGTTAAACATCTGAACAGAAGCTCCTCTCTGATATATATAGTGAACAAAATAGTGTCAATAATATCTACTGAGAACATAATTACTTTAATTACTTTTAAATTCCTGGTGTCTTATCAGTGATACAAAAGCCTCTACAGTAACTATAGTACTCTTTCTGAGCTAAATTTAAGGACACACATCTGATAATTTAGAATATACTGGTGGTAATTTAGAGTATACACTGAAACAGAAATTTGAAAATAAACCACCCCTAATTTTTTTGAGACATTTGGGAACCATAACAATATCACCTTGTGAGAAAGGGCTATAAGGGGCACCTCCTAAATGCAGCCTTATTAAATGCAGAAGGAGAATATCACAGTATATAAATTACGGGGACTTAGTGAATGTGTTTATATGGTATTGTTTTAATTCTTTCATTTTATACATTTTTAGGTTTTTTAGTAGAAGTCTTGGGGTACATTTTTATTGGTGAAAAAAATGACTACTCTTGAAAGTTTAGAAACCAAAGGTAAGTGTTCTTCTTTTGCTGGTAATTGTTTTTAAAACATGAAATTTATGATGATAGGACGAAGGACTGTTTGAGCCAGGTAACCAAACCCCATAGAGCCCTTGGGAATCATTTGTATTTCATATCTCTTCATGTTTGTTTTTTAATGCAGTGTTTACATTTCAGTACTACAGATATACAGGTGAATAGTAACATTATTTGGTAGTATTTATTAGATGACTACTACTGTTAAACAGTAGTGTAAAAGCAAATTTTTATAGCTATGTTCTCTGTCCACTAGAAGATTAAGATTTAAATAATAAGAATGTACATTTTTAAAGATTTGGGTACATGGACAAACAACTCTCAGGTATAAAAGACCTTTTTCTTATTGCATTGGTTTGTTAGGGCTGCTGTAACAAAGTATCATAAACTGGTGGCTTAAACAACAGAAATTTATTGTCTCATGGTTTTAGAGTCTAGTAGTCCAAGATCAGGGTGTTGGCAGAGCCATGCTCCCTCTGCAGGCACTAGGGAAGGATCTGTTCGAGGCCTCTCTCCTAGTTTCTGGTGGTTTGCTGGCAATTTTTAGTATTCCTTGGCTTGTAGACACATCACAGTGATCTCTGCCTTTTTGTTCACATGGCATTCTTCCTGTGCATGTATGTCTCTGTGTCCAAATTTCTCCTTTTTATAAGGACATTAATCATATTGGATTAGGGTGCACACTACTCCAGTATGATCTCATCTTAACTAATTACATCTGCAATGACTTTATTTCCAAATGAGGTCACACTCTGAGGTATGGGTGGGACACAATTCAACTCAGAACATTTGCTAACTACAGTAGTTACTTTTTAGTCCTGCCTTGCTTGTCCTTTGTATAACATTTCATACTATTGATCATTCCCACTTTTTGAAATACTTTCTTTCCTTGATTTCCATGACTTTACTCTTATTTTCCATCTACTCTATGGCCCTTCACTGTCCAGTGCAGTAGCCACATGTGGCTATTTGAGCTTAAATTAGTATTTTTAAAAATTAAAAATACAGGGCTTCCCTGGTGGCGCAGTGGTTGAGAGTCTGCCTGCCGACGCAGGGGACACGGGTTCGTGCCTGGGTCCGGGAGGATCCCACGTGCCGCGGAGCGGCTGGGCCCGTGAGCCATGGCCGCTGAGCCTGCGCGTCCGGAGCCTGAGCTCCGCGACGGGAGAGGCCACAACAGTGAGAGGCCCGGGTACTGGAAAAAAAAAAAAAAAATTAAAAATCCAGTTTCTCAGTCACATTAGCCACATTGAAGTGCTCAATAGCCACATGTGGCGGGTGGGTATTGTATTAGAAAGTGCAGATATGGAACGTTTCTATAATTGTAGAAAGTTCTATTGGACACCACTGCTCCAGTTATAGTTTCTTTTTAATTCTCCTCTTCTTCTGGTTTATCTTTTAAATATTAATGTTTTTCAGCCCTCCTTCTCTTCTACTCTCACAGCTTTAGTAATTATAAGGATGGCTTCCAAATCTATCTATAGCTCAGATCTCTTTCCTTGTGATTCAGACCCTTGTAGCTTACTGTCTACTGATTATCTTCACTTAGACATAGATAACAGTCTTAGCATGTCCCAAAGTGAGCTCCTCTTGATTCAGGTTATTCTTGGGTAGAGTGAGTTGTGGAGGTTGGAGCTGTCAGTGAGAGATGGGAAACTGTTTTCTAGAAGCCAGTATTGCAGCAAGCAGATCTCCAAAAGCAAACTCTTTAAAGGGGGTTTAAATGTGTTTAGACAGCGAAGATCATGCCAATAAATATTTAATTGAATTTAATTCAGCTGAGTGCAAGAGCATTTCAGGTCACCAGAGGCTTTTTATATTATTAGAATAAGCAAACCAGAAACTGAAATGAAAGTAATAAGCTGGGGATTAATGGGAAATAAGAGCAATTAAATCATAACTACTATGAAAGCAGTTAGCATGGTACTTGGCAAAAAACGAAAAACTAAATACGACATTATCATTAGTAATTAGAAGTTAGTTATTGCAAGGCCTCTGTGAAATTATTTATTTGTTGTTACTTGTTTGTACTGAGGATTAGAGTTATAAAGCACTTTCACATACATTACTTCATTTGGTCTTAATTTTACAGTGAGGTAGATAATTCAGCTGTTAGTCTTAATCCTTCATTTAATATCATTTTAGCTGTTAGTGAAGAACAGTTACTTGTATCACATGGCCTGAGAAAAGGTGCACTTATATGGTTGACATTTGTCAGTTGCCTGCATTTCCTGTAACTGCCTCAGAAAAGAAGCAAGATTGGCTTATAGGGACAGAACTTCTTCTCAGCAGACATTTGAGCAATGCTGTCATCATGAGAGGGATGTGTCCTTGCTGCTAAGGTTTTTTGAAAGGGAAACATGCAATAAATAGGAACAATTAGAAAATTAGAATTTGAATCCAAAACTTTTTGGGGAAGCAAGGTTGAAATTAAAAGTAAAGGGATTAAAGTCAGACAGTTTAGTGAAAATAGACCAAATAGGAAGGTCTGAGATGTTCAAATATTTATAATTCCATAAAAGAGTCTAACTTTTAACTCTAAGTCTGTGGAACAATAGTTATTAGGTGAAAAAGGATTCCATGGACAGATAAATTAGAGAAATGCTGGATTAAGGGAGAGATTATACTACAGGACCCTTCAGAGCCTTTAATATACTAATGTACAGCTCCAAAGAGATATATGTGGTATGTGCAGCTCCAAAGAGATATATGTGGTATGCAGCACTGCCCACACTTATTTGACCGGGAAGCTCTTTTATTTGCGGGGCCTGTGACAAAAGGAACGTTTGGATTCCATGTCAGGAAACGTGGGCCTGACTCTTAAGTCCACTGCCTATAGCATATTTTTCTAATTTAGTGGTAAGTAAACTTCATTGGGTGATACTGGTGACATATAAAAGAATATTAATTTAAAATTACCAAGTGATGATCCCTAATTTTACTGTTTTATAACTGAATCTGCATACGATCTGAGAAGTTTGTCAGATTATGAGTTAGTAATTAATGGTTTCGTGTAGAGGAAAAAAATTGAGCACTTTTTAAATGAGTTAGTTATTGGATGTTAAAAGGAAATCTAGGTGGTGTGTTAATGTTAACATTGATGAACTTCCATAAGCACTTACTCACCTTTCTGCACCAAGCACCATTTCATTAAGCTGATGATACCAAGATTAGGAGGCAGTCCCCGCCCTGAGGAGATCTCAACAGTTTAGGAAAGAAACAAATTATTTTGAAACACTCTTCTATTTGCATTATTCTGAAAGCAATGTAGGATGGAGGGGGGGGAGAGGTA